ATCATCATCATCATCATCATCATCATCATCATCATCATAATCATGGTCATCATCATAATCATCAGAATCACCATCATCAAAAGTATTATTATCATCATCATCATCATGATCATCATCATCGTCATCATCATCACCATTCCAATCATCATCATCGGCATCATCATCAGCAGCATCATCACCAGCATCACCAGCACCATCGTCACCGCCATCATCACGACCATCATCATCACCATCAGCAGCAGCAGGTCCCTCATCATCATAACCACTGTCATGATCACCGCGACAATCATCGTCGCCACCACCACAACCATCAGCATCATCAGAATCATCCTCATCATCATCACCACCGCCACCATCATCATCACCGTCGTCCTCAATCATTATCATCATCATCATCATCATCATCATCATCATCATCATCATCATCATCATCATCATCATCATCATCATCATCAGCATCAGCATCAGCATCAGCATCGTCATCGTCATCGGCATCATCATCGTCACCACCACCGTCATCATCGTCGTCCTCATCATCATCATCATCATCATCAGCATCAGCATCAGCATCAGCATCGTCATCGTCATCGTCATCGGCATCATCATCGTCACCACCACCGTCATCATCGTCGTCCTCATCATCATCATCATCATCATCATCATCATCATCATCGTCATCATCATCATCATCATCTCATCATCATCATCATCATCATCATCATCATCATCATCATCATCATCATCATCATCATCATCATCATCATCATCGTCGTCATAGTCATCGTCATCGTCATCGTCATCGCCATCGCCATCGCCATCGCCATCGCCATCATCATCATCATCATCATCATAATCATAATCATCATGAGTACCATCATCGTCATGATCCTCCTCATCCTACTACTCCTCTTCCTCCTCCTCCTGAGACCGCTCAGAAATTCTGTAGCTCGCCCTGCGAGCCACCCCCTGAGCACCGCCACGAACCCGAGCAAGGGGTACGATTCATTCAGCACTGGGAGCGTCCCGCGGCGGCGCCGCTCAGCCAGCGAGCTCCGCCGCAAGCCGGGCCGCGGCCCCCGCGGCGCTGCTGCCGCCGCCCACGGAGGAGCGGAGCTGCCGGGCGACGGCGCGGTGGCAGCGGGCGACGGGCCACGCTCAGCTCCGCGCCCCGCCGCTGCGTCAGCGCGCTGGCGGCCGCCGTCGCTGCTGCGCAGCCTCCGAGGCCAGCGCAGGTGGCGCAGCGCCGCCGAGCCGAGGCGGCCCCCGCTTTCGTGCGCCCGCGGCAGCACCGGCCACGGCGCGCGGCGGCGGTGGCCCGGCTACCGGCACCGTTCTCGGTGATCCTAAAAGCGTGTGCTAGAGCCAGCGTGTGCTTGTCCACCGAAGGTTTGCGGCAGGACGAAGCCGGGGCAGTGTGCGTGCTATCAGTTGAGCTGGACGAGGTAAGCACATGTCGAGCTAACAAGCTTCCTCGAGATCATCGATCCTCCACCGCCTCCTCCTTCTCTTGCACCTCCTCCTCCTCCTCCTCCTCCTCCTCCTCCTCCTCCTCCTCCTCCTCCTCCTCCTCCTCCTCCTCACTACGGTCCTCGTCCTCCCCCTCCTCCCTCCTCCCCTCCTCCTACTCCTCCTCTCCTCTCCTACTACTCCTGCTACTCTCTGCTACTCCTCCTGCTCTCCTCCTCTTCCTCCTCCTCCTCCTCTTCCCTCCTCCTCCTCCTTCTTATCCTCATCCTCATCCTCATCCTCGTCCTCCTCCTTCACTCCTGATCGTCCCCACCTGCCACTCCTCCTGTTACTTCTCACGTCATTCCTCCTCCTCCTCCTCCTCCTCCTCCTCCTCCTCCTCCTCCTCCTCCTCCTCCTCCTCCACTACGGTCCTCGTCCTCCCCCTCCTCCCTCCTCCCCTCCTCCTACTCCTCCTCCTGCTCATCCTCATCCTGCTCCTCCTCCTCCTGCGGAAGGAGCCCTTGACCATGTGCGTGACTTCGCATCCAGTGGGCAGCAAACAGATGGCACTCGGCCGCTCCCGCACGCGCCGCACGGCACGGCACGCGCAGCACGGCACGGCACGCGAGCGGCGCAGTCCTCGCACGCTGAGGTCCAGAACCCAGCGCGTGGGGAGAGGGGAGCTGGCCAAAGAGAGAGGTGGCCCGTCGTCCTCGCGCCTCTCTCGTGCACCACGCCCTCCCCACCCAAAGTCAGACTCCACACTCCACAGGGGCCACGTCCGGGCTGCAAAAACCACGCCCCAGGGAGGGAATCTGGCTTGACAAACCCACGACCAGGACCCCCGCCCACCCCCCGGAGCTTCCGGGCACAGCATGCAGTCTTTTCGGGCGGACGTCGGGCGCGGGGCACACGGAATTCGCCGCCGCACGGCTGCCTGCCCCCGAGGCGAGGCGGGAGGCTGCGGGTTGCGCGGCGCGGGCGGGGCCGCGGCCTCCCGGTCCGTCGCCGTGGCGCCTGCCGGAGCGTCTCCGGCTGCACACCCAGCCACCTTGACACGGCTGCTGGACGGGGAGCAAAGGGCGCCCAACTTCGCGCTGCTCGCTGCCCTCGGAGCCGAACGGCGAAGCGCGAAGCGCGCGCAAATCACTTCGCGCCCTCAAGGGCACCTGTGGGAGGTGGGGATTTAGAGAGAGAGAACGAGAAAGAGAGGCGCGCAGACAAAGAGGGCGACAGAGAAGAAGGTGTGTGCATGTGTGTCTGGATGTAGAGAGAGTGAGAGACACACACACGAAGAAAGAGCCGGTGACGGACAACGAGAGAGTGAGGAAGAACGACACAGGGAGACACGTACATGTGCCCGTACATGCTGGTACGGCGAGGGCATATATATATATATATATATATATATACACCATGAAATAAGGAAACAAAAAAAAAAAAAAAAAAAAAACAGGCAAACGAACAAAAAAAGACTGGAGACGAGCACGGGCATCGAACAAACATCACAAAACAATGCAAACCAGCAATGATTAAAAACTAATGGTATACCTATGTGTAAATATTGAGAGAAAGAGAGAGAGAGAGAGAGAACAACAACAACAACAACAACAACAACAACAACAACAACAACAACAACAACAACAACAACAACAACAACAACAACAACAACAACAACATAAAACACTGTAACAAATCTACAAACACAAACAACAGCGGTATCCACACACACACCATAAACAAAAAAAAAAACAAAAAACATATGTGCTTCTCATGTTATGACACTTCCCTCTGTAAATGCGTGAGCGTGAGCAACTCTATGCGCGAGTAAGGCTGAGCATGTGCAATCCCAGGTGTGAGCGTGCCTCTCTGCTTCTCTCTGCAGCCGTGTGCTGCCATCTGTGTGCCAATCATGGATGTCCCCATGGCATCAACGCGCGCGTGGCCGAACACTTTGTCTCCTTTTGGGGTGCGCGTGGAGCCGATTCAGGGCCAACTTGGGGCCTTCTTGGTGCATGATTTGGGGCCTCTTGGGCTCCCATGGCCCTCCCAAGCGTCCTGAAGCCATCTAGGCGGCAATTGGGGCCACTTGGAGCTGTTTTGGAAGGATCGTGGGACGTTCGGGAAGTGCCTCGGGCCCATCTTGGAGCGGTGACGGGCCACCTTGAGCCCGTCTTGGACGCACGTTGGCGGCCTATCGGACCGCCTTCGAGCCCTGCTGGGCAGACTTGGAGCCCTGTTAGGTAGACTTTGGGGCCCTCTTGGGGGCTTCTCCGTAGCCTCTGAGGCCCTCGTGGGCGCCCTCTTTGGCCAGCTTGGGGGCCTCTTGAGCCGCTTGGAGGGCATCTTGAGTTGTCTTGGGGCCATGTTCGCCATCTTGAAGGCCATCTGGGGACATCGTGGCCGTCCTGGAGGCCATCTTGGGCGCCCTGGGGGGCGATTGGCGGCCCCCGAACAGCGGGCCTGGCCTCGGAGCGCCCCGAGAAAGGCCCATGGGCCCCTGGGACTAGAGTGGGTTACTAGCGTGGCGAGCCACCCCTAGGCCAGGGGACCCACTACCCCCTTGCTATGACATATATATATATATGTATATATATATATATATGTATATATATATATATATATATATCAAAATACATACATACGTACTTACATACATACATGCATATTTACAGACACACACATACATACATACATACATACATACATACATACATACATACATACATACATGCATGCATGCATGCATACATGCATGCGTACATACACATAGATACCTACAAACATACATACATGCACGTGTGCATGCATGTATACATACATACATGCACACATGCATGCATGTGTGCATGCATACATACATACATACATACGTGCATATCTACACATACATACATGCATGCATAAATGCATGCATACATACATGCATACATGCATACACATATACAAACGTACATACATATATATATATATATATATATATATATATATATATACATGTATATACATAGATACATATATCTATACCCCTACTAACATACGTACGTACGTACAAAAAAAAACAAACGTGTATGCACATATACACACACATATGCTTACAAACATACATGCATGCATACATGCATACATGCAAACATACATAGATGCATACACACATACAGACAGACAGACAGACAGGCCGCAGATATATACACACATGCATGCATACATACCTACGTAAATACAAGCAGTGATACCTGCATACACACATGTATACATACACACATACATACATGACATGTCATACATAATTTAGCATAACATACTATAGCATAAAATACCTGACCTGCATACAAGCATACATGCATACATGCTTACATACATAACTGCATGCATGCATGAACGCATGCATGCGTACATACATGCATAGATGTATGCATACAACATGCATACATACATATGTGCATACATACACACATACACACATGCACACACATACATATATATACATATATATATATACATACATACATATATACATATATACATACATACAGACATGCATGCATACATACATACATACACACATGCATAAACACATATAGACATACACATGTATATGCATACATGCATACATGTATATATACCTGACACATAGATATATTACAGACATGTATGCATACATACACACACATGCATACATAAATGCAGACACATAATACATGTATACATACACGCCTACATATATACATACCTACACATATACAAAAATACGTGCACACATAAATACATAAAAAATACATACGCTGCATACATGAATGCATGCATACATACGTGCATACATACATACATTCATGCATGCATGCATGCATACAAACATCTATGCATAGATAAACTAGAAACATCGCGCGCGCTGCGCGCGCGCTCAAGTTCTAGCTAGGCTGGATGGTCGACCTCTTGGGGATCATTATTACATGACACTTCTGTTCCAGGGCTTCCAAGAACCACGAAGACGGCCCAAGTGGTTTCCAAGACTTCCTACGGTCCACCCACGACGCCTTAAGACAGGCCCAAAAAGCACTTCGGGGGCAAGTTTAATCGCCGCGGCTGGACGTAGCCGAAGGGCGAGGGAGGAGAAGGGGAGGTGAAGGGGTTCCCCGGGAAAGAAGGAGAAGGATGATGAGGAGGAGTTGAAAAGGGTGGAGGAGGACAAGGATGATGAGGCCGCAGAAGAGGAGAAACCAGAGGATGACAAACAGGAGGAGGACGTCAGAGTGAGGGGGCCGAGCGGTCATTCATTGTCCCTGGGTGCGTGGCTGAAGAGGGAATTCGTGGTGAGATGTCTACTTGTTGCGTTGTTGTTGTTGTTGTTATTGTTAAGGTTGTTGTTGTTAAGGTTGTTATTGCTGTTGCTGTTGTTGTTGCTGTTGCTGTTGTTGCTGTTGTTGTTGTTGTTGTTTGTTGTTGTCGTCCTCCCACCCGCGACCCACCCGCGCATTCTGGGCCATCTGAGGCGTGAGAGGCATTGACTGTAGCACTGTCCGCGTGGCCGGCGGAACGGGCCGACGCCCCAGGCGGAAAAAAAACAAACAAAACGAACGATAAGATCCAGCACGCCGGGCACCCCTGCAAAAAGCACAGGGGGGCCACGGATCGAGTGGCCTTCGGCGGCCCATCCCGTCACCGTGCCGAGGTTGTGGGTAGGAGGCCCCTTGGATGTTCGGTGGGATCTCTTGGGAGCGTTTGGGGGATCTCTTGGGGCCTCTTGGGGGTCGCTTCGGGTGGAAGGCCAGAATGTTCGGTTCGGGCTCCCCTTCTCGGCCCTCTTGGCGCCGTCTGTGGGCTCTCTTGGGCCGTCTTGGGCGCTTCTTGGGCCGTTTGGGGGGACCTCTTGGGAGCCGTTTCGAAGCCTCTTGGAGGTGTTTTGGGCCCTCTTGGGGCGTTTTGTGGGCCTCTTGGGCACGTGTTGGGGCGTCTCAGGGCCCTCTTGGGGGCCCTCTTGGGGGCCGTTGGGGGTCTTTGGGAACCTCTTGGGAACCTCTTGGGGCATCTTGGGGGCCGCTTCGGGTGGAAGGCTAGAATGTTCGGTTCGGGCTCCCCTTCTCAGGCCCTCTTGGCGCAATCTTGGGGCTCTCTTGGGCTGTCTTGGGCGCCTCTTGGGCCGTTTTGGGGGCCGCTGGGCCGTTTTGGGGGCCTGTTTGGAGCATCTCGTGCCGTTTTGGGGCGGGTTTGGAGGCCTCTTGGACCGTATTCCGCGCCGTGATGGCCGAAAAAAACCGTAGGCATTAAAAACCGACGGTTTCCTCTACGAATTTGACGATGTTTGGTATCTTGGAGTGGGAAGTCTTGGAGGCCTCTTGGGCCGTCTGGAGCCATCAATTGGGCGTCTTGGAACGATTTGGGGGCATCTCGGGGCCCTCGTGGACCGTCTTCGGCGCCTCTTGTAACCTTTTTGGTCCGTTTTGGAACCCCCGAGGACGGCCCAGGAGAGCCTCGGGGACCCCGGGGGCCTTCCAGATTTTATTGGGGGGGGGGTGGCCCAACCCTGTCGGATTCCAGGTGTGAAATAGTTTAAGAGTAAGAGAGAGAGAGAGAGAGAGAGAGCGAGAGAGAAAGAGAGAGAAAGAGAGAGAGAGAGAGAAAGAGAGAGAAAGAGAGAGTGTATAAGGATATATATATATATATATATATATATATATATATATATGAATAGAACGAACCGTACGGACTGCACCACATGGGTTCTCTCTTCTAAAAAAGAATACACTCGACCCCCCCCCAGGAGTTAACGGGTCACCTTTTTCGCATTGCACTTTACACGTGATTCTGCACACTCGTCCATCCGAAATATGAATTCGTACTATCCCAGCCAAACCGGTACAGCCCCCCCCGCCATCCTCTGGAAAAAACACTACGCGCGTACTCTCTTTCAAAAATGATAAGTTGTCAAGAACCCCTTGCAAAAAATGAGACGAAGTGGCCACGCGCGCGCTGTCGCGCGCGCATGCCGAAATCCTTCAAAAACCTTCGACTTCGGAAGGATATCAAAATCAAGTTTCAAAAAATCCGAAA